TGTGATGAGATTTTGTCGGTTGATTAGGCTGTGTGATGAGATTTTGTTTGTTGATGAGGCTGTGTGGTGAGATTTTGTTTGTTAATGAGGCTGTGTGGTGAGATTTTGTCGGTTGATGAGGCTGTGTGGTGAGATTTTGTCGGTTGATAAGGCTGTGTGGTGAGATTTTGTCGGTTGATGAGGCTGTGTGGTGAGATTTTGTTTGTTGATGAGGCTGTGTGGTGAGATTTTGTCGGTTGATAAGGCTGTGTGGTGAGATTTTGTCGGTTGATAAGGCTGTGTGGTGAGATTTTGTCGGTTGATGAGGCTGTGTGGTGAGATTTTGTCGGTTGATGAGGCTGTGTGGTGAGATTTTGTTTGTTGATAAGGCTGTGTGGTGAGATTTTGTCGGTTGATAAGGCTGTGTGGTGAGATTTTGTCGGTTGATAAGGCTGTGTGATGAGATTTTGTTTGTTAATGAGGCTGTGTGGTGAGAGGCTGTGTGGTGAGATTTTGTCGGTTGATGAGGCTGTGTGGTGAGATTTTGTTTGTTGATGAGGCTGTGTGGTGAGATTTTGTTTGTTGATGAGGCTGTGTGGTGAGATTTTGTTTGTTAATGAGGCTGTGTGGTGAGATTTTGTCGGTTGATAAGGCTGTGTGGTGAGATTTTGTCGGTTGATAAGGCTGTGTGGTGAGATTTTGTCGGTTGATAAGGCTGTGTGGTGAGATTTTGTCGGTTGATAAGGCTGTGTGGTGAGATTTTGTCGGTTGATAAGGCTGTGTGGTGAGATTTTGTCGGTTGATAAGGCTGTGTGGTGAGATTTTGTCGGTTGATAAGGCTGCGTGGTGAGATTTTGTTTGTTGATGATGTTACTTGGTTATGGTATATATCATTATTTGGAAATAGCTCAATGACACTGTTAATATATCTCAGATGAATAAACTTGAGAGAATAAATCCATTGTGCCACAAGTTTATATACTCATTAGTTATTACCTCTAGAAATCCTTGGGCACATTGATCCCCCCAACCCCTTCAAGTAAAATGGCAATTTTTGTACCTGAGTACCAGTATGTAACTGTTCAAGTATGTTGTATGCTGTAGCAAATTAGGGGGAGTGTCCAGGGCTGCTTACTTCTGTTATCACCTCCAACCTCCAAACCCCATGACCCCATGTACTTAGCCCCAAGTCTATTCCATCAATCTAATTTAGTCTCTGCCCAGGTCCTGTTGGTGCTGTTTTTTATAGATAATACATAATTGTATTTGGAAGGAGAGGAAAAACCAGTTTGGTCATGTACTATAGTGGTGAAGTAATCGCCAGAGACAATCGAAAGGTGAGGTGGGTGTATGATTTCAAGTTTAATGAATTGTGAAATTTGATGAAGAAATAACAAGGTGCACTTCAAACACCATTGTTTTAGTAAATGTAGGTCTTACATGAAATAATAGCCCATGTCGGTGTGTGATTAATCAGTCGGTAAAAAATATCTATTTAAATGTCAGCCAAAATTGATCAATTTGAACAGTGCCCTGGTTGACTAATTGTATACTAGGTCAATCTCAAAGAAAAAACAAGACAATGGCAATGAGCAAAGTTCCAAGTTAAATGACGATTACGCAGCCATTGTCTTAGGGTAGCATTGATTGATCCTTATCAAATACGGCACATATCCACAAAGGACTCGGGAGTCATCTGGTACGATCTTGTGTTGGGCACGTTGGTCCAATTAAGCTTCTACAGTAGCCTGCCCTGGTTGATCTTTAAAAGCACCTGAACTATTATTGCTTATATGGGTGTCGACTTACTTGGCAGGTAAAAATAACGAGTAATGCCAGAAATGGCTACAAAGACTGACAGGCAATACATGAACCAGCTCCACACACCTATATAACGTTCTTATCTTCCTGATAACCATTTTGAAAGACAATGATACAAGGTTTGGTTCTTTGTCTTGGATTCTGTTTTTAGTCTTTAACTCCGTGTCTGACCTGGCATTGCCTAATCTTCTGTCATACTTGATTACAATATTGGCGGAATTGCAGACAAAGCGACTTATAGAACATGCTGATTCTGTCTGTATATTATGAATATTGTCATATTACTCTATACAGATGAGGCATGTATTGGAGTTGGTTATGCTGCCATCTTCTCTCCTACCAGAGACATCCTGAAGGGGTTGGACGTTAATGCTTCTGAAGGTTCACTGTCTTGCCTTGCGGAGGACACAAGACTTAGAACTAGAAAGCAATTTCAATTCAAAATCGTAATTAGATACAGTACAGTCAAATGTCAAATCAGTCTGCATCATACAGCTATTTTTTTCCTTTTAGGACTTGAGAGTGATGCTAAAAGCCTAAATTTTGAAACCTAGCAGTCGACTGAGGAAAATCAAAATTGATTAAAAATATGAATATATAGATAGGGATGTGCACTAGCTCCATAATTCAATTAATTTTGTAATTTGCATATATCTGATAATTTCAAAACACTTAAAGTGTGTGTATTTTTTTAACCATGCCACTATTCAAGTGAATTAAAATGTGGCATACAGGTTACTGCAAACCATGGGGACTAAAAGGTACCCATAGGTCTAGGTTTTAAAAGAAACTTTCTTATTTTATCAAATTAAAACTTTTCCTATATTTTCTTTGTCATTTTAAATACCTTGCTTCATAACTAAATGTAGCTTATTGTAATTTTTAATGTGTTAAGTTCTTTCTGCAAGTCCTGCAAATATGTTTAAACATCAGAGGTTCAATTCTTAACTAATAAATGTCAAAGACGTAGATTTGAAAGAAAGTGAAGATAACATGTACAATTTTCTACGTCTTTATATTGTGAATAAATGAGAAGACATGTAACATTTCATGACAGCCTTTAATGTCAAGGTCGTAAGTTACCTTAGTGGTTTGTTGTCAGCCTAAGGTTCATTAGGTCTGACGTACCTAATGACCAGATGACGTTGGACGACCAGGTATCAATACACTATCGATACCGCCAGTGATCAATCTCTCAGCTTTCTAAAATGAAGTTATAAAAAGCAAATTGACGTCAAAACGAAATTATGAATACGGATGAGATTTCGTATGGTCTCCCGGCAGTACCAGTCGCTAATACATACAACGTTTATCTAACCCCAGCCTTATAGTTCCTGTTGACAACGTCAAGTACACTTTTACATCAAACACTGGTATAGTGTTTTGTCAGGTACAAGACATTCATATGCTGATATCAGGGTCATTTCTCACATTCTGCCACTGACATAAGGACAAATTGCGTCACAGCTTACCTGATTTATATTCCAAGATATATTTCAAATTTTAGCCTCTAGGTACAAACGTAATATTCACTGGGCGGGGGAAGATCAAAAAAAAAAAATTCAATCATTCTTTAGCCTAACCTATTTCAGAAAAAATTCTGTTTCCTATAATCACTGTTTTAAAATATTTCAAATTCAAATGTTTGAATTTAATAGAAATAGATATATTTCAAGAACATTAAGGTATGACTTTGAAGAATAATTTAGAATAATTTACTTTAAAAAATTTTAGTTGTGAACTACTACATTCAGAAATAGATAAATTAGGTGTATCATTTGTATGAAGTGAAATAGATAGAAAAACTTGAATAGAATACTGTAGGTATCATACAGTTTAACCTAGGGAACCAACATGATACTTCTCACTCAAAGTCAAGGAAGGGGTGGTGGGCTTTTTACAGGATAATCTCTGTTCTCAAAGTCAAGGAAGGGGTGGTGGGCTTTTTACAGGATAATCTCTGTTCTCAAAGTCAAGGAAGGGTTGGTGGGCTTTTTACAGGATGACCTCTGTTCTCAAAATCAAGGAAGGGCTGGTGGGCTTTTTACAGGATAAAATCTGTACTCAAAGTCAAGGACTGGGCTTATTACAGGATAATCTCTGTTCTCAAAGTCAAGGAAGGGTTGGTGGGCTTTTTACAGGATAATCTCTGTTCTCAAAGTCAAGGAAGGGTTGGTGGGCTTTTTACAGGATAATCTCTGTTCTCAAAGTCAAGGAAGGGTTGGTGGGCTTTTTACAGGATAATCTCTGTTCTCAAAGTCAAGGAAGGGTTGGTGGGCTTTTTACAGGATAATCTCTGTTCTCAAAGTCAAGGAAGGGTTGGTGGGCTTTTTACAGGATAATCTCTGTTCTCAAAATCAAGGAAGGGTTGGTGGGCTTTTTACAGGATAATCTCTGTTCTCAAAATCAAGGAAGGGTTGGTGGGCTTTTTACAGGATAAAATCTGTACTCAAAGTCAAGGACTGGGCTTTTTACAGGATAATCTCTGTTCTCAAAGTCAAGGAAGGGTTGGTGGGCTTTTTACAGGATAATCTCTGATAATCTTCTCAAAGTCAAGGAAGGGTTGGTGGGCTTTTTACAGGATAATCTCTGTTCTCAAAGTCAAGGAAGGGTTGGTGGGCTTTTTACAGGATAATCTCTGTTCTCAAAGTCAAGGAAGGGGTGGTGGGCTTTTTACAGGATAATCTCTGTTCTCAAAGTCAAGGAAGGGGTGGTGGGCTTTTTACAGGATAATCTCTGTTCTCAAAGTCAAGGAAAGGTTGGTGGGCTTTTTACAGGATAATCTCTGTTCTCAAAATCAAGGAAGGGTTGGTGGGCTTTTTACAGGATGACCTCTGTTCTCAAAATCAAGGAAGGGTTGGTGGGCTTTTTACAGGATAAAATCTGTACTCAAAGTCAAGGACTGGGCTTATTACAGAACTTTGAAATAGTATTTGTGTGTAATTTTCCAGAACAACATTATACATGGGTTAGCTCAGTACAGGGTAAACATGATAGCTTATCATGAAAGTATACTTATTGTATAAAATTTGAATTTTACTGAAAGCTTTCTTATGAAAGACTTCAGTAATGTCCATGACATTTGTGATGATGAGTCTGCTTTTGTGATTTCTTTACCAGAGATATGTCATCATATGTCACCGAAACTTTTTCTCCTTTTCTGATGTATACTTTTACAAAACTGTTGTTTGTTTATGCAGGAAATGGGAATCAAGGATAGCTTTCATAAGAAATCTATCATGGTGGCTATTGATGAACTCTGTGGACGTGAACCAGAACCAAGCAATGTAAGTTCTTTTCCATCACTTTTTAAATATTACTGTACATATCTCATATTGTAGTTGTCTCAAAAAAAGAAAATTCTTGTAAAAAAAAATAAATTGTATCTGTAATGTTTAGGTGACCTTCATTTACTCTATTTGAAATAAGATAGGAGACGGATGTTTATTGAAGAAGAATGTCTATTTGGATAAATAAGGTATATATTCTTAATGGATGGGAACTGAATGGTTATTTCACCTTAGTAATTTGGTACCTTTAGCTATCTTTAGGGTGTCAAGGTCTGGGGCAGGTATATAACCCTCACTGTAATTATCAAACAAGCATTTATCTTTACTAAGTCACTTTTCAAAACACAATCAAGATTGGGAATTTTGTAAGGAATTGAGACAGGTTTTACAATGGCAAAATACTGATCAAATGCCTTTTGTATACCCAAAATAAGGTCAAGGGAATTCATATAACCACTTCAGATTTCCTGATAGCAATCTGAAATTAGTGTTGCCATTGTGCAAACAATCCAGGGGGGTTTGTAGGTGAATTAAAAGTACAAAAACTTTGTCAAATATTGCATGCACAGCACCATTTGTGATGAAATTAGACAGCATAAGGACTGTTTTGTTGGTTTGTATGTGACAGTAATGTTCACTCTATCTAAATGACTGGTGGCCACCTGTGGAGGTGTAGATATTATGTAATTTGGATGTAAAATTATCTTGCCGTAATTATCATAATTAATTCTTCTTTTTTGAAATCTCAATTCTTATTCTGCTGATATGCTATGTGAATTTGTCAATTTTCTCACTGTGCTCTTCCTACCTATAAAGTGACCTGTTTTCCTGTACCTTTTGTCTTGTAATTCTTGAGACATAATAATTATCAGAACATGTAGGTCACCTTCATTATCAAATATGTAATTAGGCTTTTAGAAATGTATTTTGTCAAGTTACATTTGTGGTTTAATATTGAGAAAGTGGTAAAACCTACACTTAGAGCTTATTGATAATGGTCATCAGGTAAAAGTTGTTCTATAACACACCCGTGCTAATGGGTTTAGGTGTGTAAGTTAGTCACCTTGTGTTAGCTGGTGTGAGTGTGTGTGCTTACTGGAACAGGATGTCATTACCCATTGATGATTTTAAGATAGGGCTAGCTATGTCTCCACTCAGACTGGGGACCAACACTCCATTCATTTGGTTTTTGAGCAAGTTATATGAAATATTCTAAAAGTCTTAACTCACTACACTTTTGTGATCTCCTTTTCCTTTTATTTTGAAGTCTGTAAGGGAAAACACTCTGATTAAAAACATTACCAAGACAGTAATGTTTTCCCTTTCTTTAACTGGAAATCTGTTAAATATTTACTGTCTTTTCTATCCCTCTCTTGAATTAAAGTTATTTCAAAAATTAAAAGTGATATTTAAATCTTGTCATGAAGATAGGATATGTTATAATTGAGTTACATTTTATTTCAAAATTTGACAAACCTAGGAAAGAACTGTTAAAGTTGACTAGCTACTTCACATAAGTCATAAGTACAGTTAAGTCAAGCATCTCATGTAGGTGGGAACTTCATATATTAAGACTTTTTGAAACTTTAAGCAGCTTACGACTGGAAAATCAGTATTTAAAGAAAAAAACACCCTCATGTAAACTATGCAGAGGATGTATCACACAGCTTCTCTATGTTTACAGTGAAAGTGTTTCCCATGTTGAGTGATATTCTTTATCTTCTGAGAAATTTTTTTTTTTAATTGAAAATTTATATATTCAAAAATATGCAGGTGTATATAAACATTTTGTAGGAAACTCCTGATACAGTGTATTTTGATATTTATTACGCAGTAGTGTTTTAACCTTTTCTATTCAGCTATGTTATACTGTAAAACCACTTTTTCATGAAGTGTAGAGAAATCGACAATAAATATTTACTTACGTCCTAGTCGAATGTTATTTATGGAGAATAAAAATATATATTTGTTAAAAATTGATAATTTAATGATACAATGTATTTCGGAATGACTTAAAAGCTTATCACAGTGTATAGTAAAGTCTGTGTGAGGTCAACTAAAGTGTAATTTCAATGTCAAATGAAAATAGAAGCTTAGATTTTTTTTGTATTTAACAAATGGCTTTTATATATATTCTTGTCTGCCCCAACAGATTCTAGAAAGAGTATTCATATGTAATTCAATAATTTTTAAATTCAGGTGTACATCAATATTGCAAAGACATTGTCATCAAAATGTTGAATAGAAAAGTTTAAATACATCATAGTTAAAAATAACACATCTTCATGTTAAATGGTCCATTACAGTCTAGTCAGCCAGTTGGTGAAAGATGAGCTCCAGGCTGATATGCATGTTACCTGTATAAACTGCACATATACTTTTCACAGGTGTATAATTTACCTGGTTTAGTGGCATATATAATTGTATATTATAAAGAGTGACCAAATGGTTGTTTCAGAGTATGAAATAATTACAAGCATTCATTTTAGTTTAACCATTAATCCATTCTAAATTATTTTGTCAATTTTCAAATGAGAATTATCAGTTATGAGATTGATAGAATTTAGTATGGAGGTGTGAGTATGACTTTGTATGTAATTATGGAGGTGTGAGAGTTTGTATGTAATTATGGAGGTGTGAGTTATGAGTTTGTATGTAATTATGAAGGTGTGAGAGTTTGTATGTTATTATGGAGGTGTGAGTATGACTTTGTATGTAATTATGAAGGTGTGAGAGTTTGTATGTTATTATTGAGGTGTGAGTATGACTTTGTATGTAATTATGAATTATAGATATTTTATATGTAGTTGTGTGTTAGTATAAAAGATCTATATATGAATATAATTCCTGTATGATAGTGTTGAATACAATCCCTGTATGCGAGTACCATACCTCCAGTACTTAAGCATGACCCCAATACATATTACCTCAGGATTTACTAACCCTATAAGTGGGTATTGCACCAGTATTTGAGTATTACCCCTGTATTTGAGTAATACCCCTGTATGTGAGTATTACCCTGTGTTATCCCTGTTAGTGAGTATAGTGGGTGCCTCCATAGAGCTGTCAGAGAGTGTAGAGTATTCCTGGGCTGATAATGATCCAGCTCTTGGGCCCCTGCCAAGTCTGTTATGTTGGAAAGTAGGCTAAGCTTTGGTTGGCTGCCTGCCTGCCTGGCTGGCTGGTTGGACTGACACACTTGCTCACAGAGGCAGAACCAAGCTGACAGCTAGCATACCTACCTGGCCCTGTACAGTGTGTATGGCTCTATCAGTTGTAAAGCCACAGAGCTAGTTGGCCCACACTCTTTCTCCAGCTACACAACTGTACACATGGTCTGTCGATATGGCCTCTGTGTAGCATGGTATATCACTGAAGTCTTGGGATCTATTTAATTTCTTACTGGATTTTAAGTTATTCTGTGGACAGTTTTGGATTTTCTTCGGTTATATAAGGAGTTTATTATATACAGAGTGAGAATATTCTGTCCAGATATTCAACGTGGTTTATAGAACTAGAGGATGGATTATATCACTGGATTTTTCCACTGACCTACATTTGAAGATTTTTAGACTCTCGGGCAGTAAAACACTACCTGTATATATTTATGGGGAGTCTTTGAAAATGTACGAATTCCCATCACAATGCCCCTGTACATCAAATGAATTTTCTCAGCTATGTGATTTCTATCCTCAGGGACCCGTCTATCCCTCCGACCCCATGGAAGGTAAGTTTCAAACTTTTTAATTTCTTAATTAAATTTAGTTATGATTTTAAGAATTTTAACTTTAGAATTTCATTCTTATTTTTCTGAGAGATCTAAAATAAAATTAGTTTGAAATGTTTCTGTTCAGTATTCTTTAATAAAAATTCATAGCATATCAAATTAAACTCTGAACTTAATACAGATGCAAAGAATCTTACATTTTGGATTTCTTGTTTCCTTATAAATAAATAAAATTGATGGCAATATTTATATTTAATGGGAATAATTCTATGTTTGTTGGGTTGAGGAATGGTTATCATCGTAATGATTTTTCTAGCCGTTGAGAAAGTTCTTTCATTGAAATTTTCTTTAATTTCTTTGTCTAGCCGCAAGCTGTGGAGCATCGTCAGAGCATCGGTTTGCAGAATACAGCTTCTCATCAATGCAAAGATGTCATCTTTGCGACAAGTTTCTTTATGGACTTGTGCGCCAAGGACTTCAATGCCGGGGTATGTAGATCTCAAGATTTTTAACTTTCTTGTTCATTTTAATCTGAAATTTTCATCTGAACTTTGTGTTTGAAAACTTTTTTGAAAATTTTAAAAAGTTGATAGTATTTCAATATTTGTGTTTATATAACTATAAACTATTTCTTTTCGCTAGCAAGAGATATTCTGCTAATAATACGACAGATTGTATTTCAAGAATCTTTCATTTTATACAATATAAGTGATGAAAGCTTTCCTAGTATTACACTCATGTATGTTAGGAAACAGTATTAATTATATAATCCTATTTTGAGATTGAGGTATATTTATTTACAGAGTGTGGCATGTGCTCTCATCGCTACTGCTCATCATCTAGAACGTCAGAATGTAACGTGCCAAAGATAGACCGCTTGAGAAGACCCAGTTTCACACAAAGTAAGTTTTCTCATCCACAGTCTCACTGGCTGTATTAGCAGATAGTATGGGCTAAGGGCAGACAACTCTGTTAGGAAGCATTGTATTAGTCATGCATAGAAAAGCCGACTTAGCAGAAACTAGGTCAGTGAGAAATCTTTAAACCATGTTAGGTTCTTATTGATGGTTGATCATATGATTAAGAAAGAAACATAAGTTCATACAGTTAATGAAAAATTTTGTACTTTGGACAAGATCTTATTTATTTTTAATCTTCGTAGACTCGTAGCAGTTAAATTTGATTATTTTTTAAATAAACTTATTTAATAACTCTATTCAAAAAACTATTAGAGGCAAATGTAAATAATGGGCATCTTTAATTGAAGGAAGTGATGGTATATAAACTAATTCTCGAAATTTAATTAAACTTGTTTTGCTGAAGATAATAAGAATATTCATGAGGAAACAGATAATTTTGATAACTTCCTTATTGTTTAATATATTTTTGAATATGATTAATTACTATAAATATCTCACCTCTTTGCTCTAGATTCATCATTTGGGGCCGAATTAGGCGAGGAAGTAAGCAAGGGCCATTTAGAGGCTCCGTGGATAATTGTCAAGTGTACAGAGGTCATTGAGAAGTGGTGTGTGGACCACAGTAAGTAGTTCCTTTACAACATAACTTAGGGATCTGTAGCCATGCAGATATTTATGTTCTGTTCTTATTGATATAATGGCAAAAAAGCTTTTGCTCTGTATTCACCAAAATTTGATATTTTTAACAAAATTTTCTCTTATCAAGTTATATTTGTTTAAACCTTAATTTTCTTTCTCTTTTTAAAAAGAATTAAAATATGGAAAAAAAAGAATAAATGGAATATTTTGTCATAAGTATTAGAATTTAGATGAAAACTGGTATATGATGACAGATTATAAGTTCACGAATTGTTATTGTATTTTAGAATCAGAAGCCTTGAGTGTGTACAGAATTTTTGCTAAGACTGAGGAAATCAATGAAATCAAGGCCGAGCTGAACCTAGGTAAGTTATATACCTGATAGTACTTGGTAGTGATTACTCAAATGGTTTACACATCAAAGAGAGACTGATAGGTTCAGAAACTTCGTGAATCTTTGTCTGGATGTTTGTTTCGTCCTGTTTTTTTATAATCAACAATGTGCCCAGCAGCAGTTTTGAACATAACAGAATTTAATATCTGCTATAAATATGTTGCAGCCTTTTTGCGTTGTGATTTATATATGTACTTCAGTTTATATGTGTACTTTTAACGGGGGTTCAAAGATTTTAAGTAATTTCAGTAAGGTCAATTAAATTTTTATTTTCTACAGTGAATGATCCAACACAAGTGAATCTAGCTCCTTTCAATGTGCACTGTGTGGCTGGTGCACTGAAAAAGTACCTCCGCGAGCTTCCCAACCCAGTTATCCCTGTCGACATGTACGATGCATTCATGGCCGTCGCACAGCAGGGCGAGCATGGATCACTGGACATTACCAAGAATTTGGTGGAACTGATCACAGCTCTGCCTGGTCCTCATCAGTCAACGCTGCGCTTTTTGATGGCACACTTCATCAGGTTATGGAAGATCCAGCATGAGTCAGAGGTGGATGATGGTCTTGACAAACTGTCCCATGTGTTCTGTCATATTCTGCTACGCCCTCCCTGGGAAAAAATCATGTAAGTATGACTTTACCAAATTGTTGTTAACACAATGAAAATGATGTTATTTTCATGGATCATACCTGTGAAAGAAAATACTTTTTCAAGGCAGAATGGCTGTAAAATGGATAGATAATTATTGACAAAAAGGTAAAAGTCATGGAGTGGAGAAGAAAAATTGAATAAGAATTTGGATGGGTGTAGTCAAGTCCCCCTCGTAGGAGAGGAGAGGTGCAGGTGTGTCAGAGGTCCTTTTTGAAGAGATCTTCCAAAATCTGTAAATGTCTGGATATTGTCAAAGTAAATGAAAGTATTTTGCCTTTTTTAATTTCAAAAGTAGATTAGACTTGACTGTAAGTATTATGTATGTGAAAAAAAATTTCCTACTTTGACCTACCAACATCCTAATTGTCAATTGATATTGATAAACATTATCTGGATAGTCCTTGACCGAGTTCATATATCACAGCATGGACTGTGCTCTTGTTGTTATCTTTAGATTTAGAGATGGCTGGGAACAACAATCAATATTTTGTTGTGTTAGTGTACAGATGATTTAGCCCTACTTTACTCCTAATAGAGTGATGATTGGTCAGCCTTCAGAAGTCAATAATTACCGAGCAATGACTGTCTGTGTGCGTGATCTGCATGCCAAAAATAATTCTTAGTGAACAAGGAAGGATATTTCATTATTTATTAGAAACTGTGTCATAATTTCTTAATGGAACAAACCATGAAAGCTTGGCTGTTTACAGACTGAGGTTTATATCTTGTATTCCAACAGTATGAATTTGAAATATTTTCTCTCTCTGCCAGTGGTCTTGGTAAATAGACACATTTCAGCTTTCATCACAGAAGGTGATTGACGTATTTGGAAGTCCATATATTGTGTACTGGTAGAGGTTAAATATGTTGGTTCTAGAAAAAAAAGATTGGAGATGTCTGCTTGTATTAACCAATTTTTCCTCTACTTATCTCCTTGGTGACAGAAACAAGAATGGGATATTGATTTAGGGATGTAAAAATCCTCGGCCTGTCTGTAACCTCAAGGCTGTGTTAATCCTGTCAAACCTAGTCTCATCATGTGTAGGAGTATTTATCTGCTACTAATGGCAGCTTAACCTCTAAGCAAGATATCTATATTGATAAAGCATCGATTATGGATACAATAATATTTACGTATATTTGAAATTCTTGTTATTTCAGTGAGATAGTTGATAACACCAAATACCATATAGACATCTTCGAGGAGCTACTGAAGAACGGAAGTTGGGGGGAGGCCCCTCCTCCTGCCCCGCCCACCAGACCACCTCGACCACAGTCTCCTATCATCTCCTCCGAACATCTCTCCGCCATGTCTGCCGAGGAACGATTAAAAGAAGCAGAATGGTACTGGGGCAATCTGTCCCGAGAGGAAGTGAATGAACTATTAAGAGACAAACCGGATGGAACATTTTTGGTGCGCGATTCAGCTACACAAGGAGATTACACATTAACAATACGAAAAGGTGGCACTAATAAGCTTATTAAAATTTACCACAGTTCTGACGGCAAGTTTGGCTTTGTGGAACCATTAACTTTTAATTCTGTTGTGGAACTTATACAGCACTACAGTAATATTTCATTGTCCATCTACAATCGGACACTAGACACCAAGCTTCTCTACCCTGTGTCCAAGAACAAGGCAGCGGTAAGTTATCTCCCTTGAAAAATGTCCCTGAACAACGATATGTGAGGATTTTGATATTTGTACTACTGACCTACTGCTTTTTAAGATTTCAAGAGATATTTTATGATATTTCCTAAAGTTAAGTTTTTTAAGTCATTTATTTTGAAAATACAAAGTTTTTCAATGTTGTTATTTAAAACTTCGATCAGATTGGATGTTTACTGGTTTTCAGGAGTTAGATACTGACAGCCTTAAGGAAGAGTGCAAGAAACTACAAAGAATAAATGCAGAATATCTAACTAAGATGCACGAGTATGATACTCACTACGAGGAACACTCCAAACTATCTCAGGAACTCCAGCTCAAACACCAGGCATTGGACGCCTTCAAGGAAACTGTCGCTGTGTTCGAGGAACAGATGGAACTCCACCGCAAGCATCAACGAGACGTATCACTACACGATATTCAAAAGTAAGTGTTGGGCTTTTCTATCTCTTGATTTCATGGGAAATCTAGACACTCATGCTCAATAAGGCAACTTATTGAAGAACTGCAGCAAAACTTCGTATTTTGAATATCTTAAAATTTCTCCTCCCCCACCCCCCATGAAAATATGATATAACATGAGGGAAAATCTCATTAGACTTCCACTAAGCCTACCTGCTTGTTCCTCTAAGTCCTGGCCATGGTGTGTGGCTAAATCTCCATTACATAGTTATCTGTGAAATTGTTGCCAAAGTTCATTTCACTCATACTTTCACTTTATTTTCATTACAGGTTACACGAAAATTATGAGTTGTTGAAGAGTAGGTGTCAAAGTATTTATGAGAGTAAAGAGAAATTGGAAATGGAAATTAATCGAAAAACAACACTTAATAGAACACTTATAGGTGATATGAACAGTTTAAGACCAGAAATCAAACGACTTCACAAACAGAGAGAGCAAGTGAAGAAGTTCCTTCTGGACCAAGGAGAACAGCCCGATTCTATAGATGCCATTCTGTTGGAAAATGACAGGTAAACATTAGTGTGAAGACAAGGGATAGAAGGACGATATGAGGTCACTTCATAATGATTAATTTTATCAGCTCTAGAGATATTATCACTGTATTGTAATATAGGAAAAGTCCATACAGTAAATATAACACATTAAACAATAAGGCAATGTGCTGAAGAGGTGAAATTCATTGATATTGATTTTGTTCATTTGCATATACATAAATTAGCGAACATGATTGGCTGATAGGTCACATGAATGGATATGATATAGGATTTCATGTCTTTTCTATATGAAAAAACAATAAGTAATTGAAACATCTGACATATCAGTTTGTTTTCTTTTGTCAGGGACCCTCTATTAAATGAGAAGAACTGGTTTGTCAACTGTGTCCGTGAACAAGCTGAGCGTCTCCTCGCTGGAACAAAAGATGGAACATTCCTGATTCGACCAAAGGATCATGTCCATGTCTTGTCAATAATGTAAGCTGATTTTCTTTACCTTCAAAAGCATTATCACTGTTAAGAAAAGAAAACCCACAAAAACATGAGTTTTCATGAATACAATATCATTGATTATTACATGGATAACACAGTTAGAAATGCTAATATATATGGTAGAATTAATTGATACAAGGATGAAGGGGAAATTATTAAAGGTGAGATATTCTGTTGATCGTAAAGTAAATGTATCACTGCTTTTGAAATAACATGGCTTGAAATTGAAATCAAAATCCTGTAAAATGATTAAAACATCAAAGTTGACAAGAAATAGAATCTGTAACATTTATTATAGATGTTAATGCTTGGTGTCCATTTTAATTTCAGGTGCAATGGAAAAGTTGGTCACTGTATCATTGGTAACAATGAAGGGCGCTTTGGATTCTCTGAAGGTTTTTACAAATTTGACGACGTCAAAGACCTCGTCTTACACTATCATAGAGAGTCGCTAAAGGAACATAATGGAGAACTGGACACTAAACTTATTTACCCTGTGCACTGTCAAACGACTGGAGCTCAGGGTCAAGGCCCCTCAGACATATACCTCAAAATGCGACCAACGACATCTTAGTGCATGTATATGTATTGAAATTATCGACAGTATTCAAGGCAACTGTGATTCCTCTCTTCAGTACTGATACATATGTGACAGAGGTTATGGCATAATGTTAAACGAAAGCAGCTGCATGAAGTGGAAGCTGAGAGCAAGAAGGCTGTGGCAACCACAAACTAGCCACTGTAAAATGTGCTGTTTCTCTTTCATAGCAGATGTAAACAGTAACTGCTGGTATCCCATAGTAAAACATAAGTACTAGTTTTTATGTGCTACCCACTAGAAAACGTCTTTCAAATCTGGTGCACAGTTGGTCATATGACCAGGGACGCTTTGTTTCATTGGATCAAGTCTACAAGACCTTTGAATTGCAGTTGAGTCAAACTGTATTTTGATTGGTCAAATGATTATTATATATTTTATGTTTTTTGTCGGATGTGTGAACAAATTTGTGACTGTGTTACAACTTGTGGATGATATATACCAAAGGGTATGAAAAATGGCAGACATGTTTGCAAATGGAAATTATAAATCTGTGATTGTGACATGCCAAGTGCTATATATAGAACATGAAATGCATGTTTAAGATTTCAAAGTCATTTTCCTTCTGATATTTTTTTGCGGAAGAAAAAGAAATTGTAGGACATGTACAATGATCATGGTTATATAAATTGCATGTGTAGAATATGTGGATTTTTTTTGTGAGAGCTTGTTGTTTTATGAAAACTAAGTTTCTTCAGTATGAATGATGATAGTTAGGTTTATTAAGAGTCTCTCTTCTCACTCATGATCAGTGATGTGTTGTTGTTTTATTCTGTTGCTGATAAGGCTTATACTGCAATCAAATTGTTACTCTGAGCATGAAAATAAATTAAATGGCATTTGTGTGCATTATCACTGTTCAACTACAGAAATATGTTGATCTATTCATTAAGACTTGTGTTCGATTAGTAAAACTGTAAATATATACGCTCTTGATCAATTGGTCAAAAAAACACACAGTGCTCTGATGTAAGACGAGAAAGAGTGGGTGAGAAAGGACCATCGCATTACCATGTTGTCATACAACTTCATTACCCATCATTGTGTTTACCTGTGCTTGAAAATATTTCCAAGTAATTGAAGACATTAAGACTGGTGCTATATATGTAAGTGAAAAAGTTTGATTGATAAAGCACCAGGTGTTACAGATGAGAGTATCTAATGTGTAGGTAATAATTACACAAATCAGTGCTTTTTGCAGAATGTTATTCTTAGATAAATCCAGTGTTTAATGATAATTTCTACAGAGTACCTAGTGCAAACTGAGAGGATAGCAAACCTACCAGTACAACAGTTCCCACCAGATCTGTGTGTACGTATTTCTCCAGCAGCCTCCAGGCACAACCTGCACTCAACCATGCGGAGAGACAGAGAGATAACTTGTCTAAGATTTCTGTGCATAATTTTATACTGATTCTTGCTACCTAGTATTACTCTGGCAATTTTAGAAGTGCACTTAGCCACAAACTTTATAAATAACCAGCTTAAGACATATCCTGTGCAGCCCTTTCAGCATTAGATTACCTTGTGCTATTGTGTCTATATTTATATAATGTTTCAGACAAATATATTTCAAAAAGCGCCCCTATGGCCTCAATTTTTCAAAGGTTAAAGTTTCAAAAGAAATTTTCTCATGTTCATTAAATATGGATTTATTCAAATATTTTTATTTTTATCTTCCTGTTATGGAAAAATGAATACTTAAAAGCATGTTTATGACATTTACAGGGCAAATATTATTTATGTGTGTAATTTTGAAAATCTATATCAGAGATTAGTAAAACCATTAGATGGTTTTCATTTAATATAATATTTTTTGACAACAAAATTGATTCTGTATTTTATGAATCTCTCTTGAGCTCTCCAAACTAAATGGCTTTATGTTGTAACTATTTGTTAGGGTTTCATAGTTGAATGAGGAGATATACATTCCAAATGAAATGTATAACACACTAGCACTGAATGTGTCAAGGATATACCAGGAAATTAACTCTCTTTTTCTTTTCTTCATAAATGCTTTATGTTTGAGATAAAAAGGCTATATATAAATTATTTGTTAATGTATAAGGTCAGGGTACAACTTTTGTTACAGGACTGTTGCGTATCAGTCTCCTTCTGACTATCACGATGGAGACATTGTGTGCACGTCAGCTTTTTACCATTTATGACAGAAAATGTTGTGTAGAAGAAAATTCCTTAATTTAATATTTCCTTAATGTATCTTTCCACTGACTTTACCATCTGTGAGTTTGTCTGTGTGGTTTCTGTGTCAGGCAGATGTGATGTACCAATTGGTTCATATCTTACACAAATCCTACAAATAAAGTCATTAATTTTAATCCCTTGTGTTTGTTGTATGTAAAGTATAATTTGTTTATTAAACCAAGTTGTAGCAATATCGCCAAGTATGCTCTAAATTTAATGAAAAGCATGTGTCTCTTAAGTTTTCAATAAGCGAGAGGAATTATTATGTACAGACGAAAGTTCTATAATAAAATTTGTTTCAAAGATGTTGAAGGGTAATCACCTATATTAGTCTGGAAACTACCCATGAAATTAATTATGTAGATGTGATTATCAATTATAATCCAATAAATAGTCAATAAAAATAGACAAATAATTGTCAAATCTACTTACTGTAACTATCTAGGTTCTAGAGATTTGGAAACAAAAGATACCTGTTTAATCTTTATGTGAATATTAATCCAGAATTTTCTGAAATTAAATTAAATAAGAATGAAAACATAAAAAACAAGTACATCTGCATCATAATATGTGAAAGGAAATAGGAGTGAGGGATTCTTACATTAAGTTATGGTCAACTTGGCCCAGACATGTCAGGCAAGCATTCTTTGCAAATTAGCTATTCCAACTTCAGTGTGTGTAACATAAATTGATTGAATTTCTCCGAAAACATTAAGGAAATGGAAATTTGTCCATAGACGCCTGCTAGATTGACAATTACCAGTACATCAACAACTGGTCAGCAACAGATTATTAAATTAAGGCGGCTGAACTTTTTGAAAAGACATTTAGGTTTGTTTGTTGACATAATTCACCCGATCAACAGCCAGGGTCATTTTTTGTAGTGATGGCCACCTCACTGAACAACATAAGGGAAACCCATGGCATGCCATCCAGGGTTAAAGGTCATGTCCGAGGGGAAAACCCTAACAGCACAGACAAGTCAGTTTGTAGATTCCAACCAAGGAAGGGTGAATCTAGCCATGCACCTTTGGTTTCAACCGGAGTTTATGTAAGCCCACATTAGACCTTGCTGTTGTAGACAATGTCTGTTATAAAAGATGTAAATTACAGACAACACCTGTTATAAGAGATGTGAATTACAGACAACACCTGTTATAAAAGATGTGAATTACAGACAACAACTGTTATAAAAGATGTGAATTACAGACAATACCTGTTATAAAAGATGTGAATTACAGACAACAACTGTTATAAGAGATGTGAATTACAGACAACACCTGTTATAAGAGATGTGAATTACAGACAACACCTGTTATAAAAGATGTGAATTACAGACAACAACTGTTATAAAAGATGTGAATTACAGACAACACCTGTTATAAAAGATGTGAATTACAGACAACAACTGTTATAAAAGATGTGAATTACAGACAACACCTGTTATAAAAGATGTGAATTACAGACAACACCTGTTATAAAAGATGTGAATTACAGACAACAACTGTTATAAAAGATGTGAATTACAGACAACACCTGTTATAAGAGGTGTTGATTATAGACAACATGTTGAAAAAGGTGTGAATTATAGACAAACGCCCATTGTCTGTTAAAAAAACTGAAAGACCATAATAGTGGATGTAAAACCTGTTAAATAAGTAAATAAATAAAGACAAACACCTGTTATAAATGATGTTGATTATAGAAAACACCTGTTATAAATGATGTTGATTATAGAAAACACCTGTTATAAATGATGTTGATTATAGAAAACACCTGTTATAAATGATGTTGATTATAGAAAACACCTGTTATAAATGATGTTGATTATAGAAAACACCTGTTATAAATGATGTTGATTATAGAAAACACCTGTTATAAATTATGTTGATTATAGAAAACACCTGGTATAAATGATGTTGATTATAGAAAACACCTGTTATAAATGATGTTGATTATAGAAAACACCTGTTATAAAAGCTGTATATTATAAACAACATCATTTAAAAATGCCATGTATTTAAGGCAATATCCCATACAACATATGCGTATTACAGACAACATCTCTTATAAAAAACATGTATTTAAGACAACAGTTATAAAAGTTGTGAATTAATGACAACACCTGTTATAAAAGGCATGTATAAGACAATACCTGTTTGAAAAGATGTTTATTATAGACAACACCTGTTGTAAAATACATGAGAAATACATCTATTACAAAAACATGTGTTAGACAGCACCTGATATAGCCCTTGTTATTTATACATGTATTTGTGGTGTACATAACACAGGTATAATATGTTATAGACAGTAAGTTTGTTATGTCTCATCAGACACCTTGTTATAAAAGGAGGATAAAAAGACCAACTGCTTAAAAAATGCAAACAACACCACGTGCATGGTGCTATGTAAATATTAACACGGTTCCTAACATAAACACTGATTCTAAGTAAACAATTTCAGATTTTTTTTGTAAAGAAACAAAGTTATGTTATTGTTATAACAGAGGTGAAACTTTTTAACACTTCTAAGGAAGCGGCAAAAAAGTAATTAGTTCTATTTCATGTGGATGTAAAGCCTACTATAGACGGTGTTCATTAAGACCTAAAGTGCATCCTTAAAGACAGGAAGACAGTACTTTCCATATACCCTAGCTACATCCTGTGGGGGGACGCCACACTTACTTTCACAACTGCTACCTAAGAGGCCTTTAGAGGTCAAGGCCACTCAAATGTATGCACGTCCGCATATAAAGAAGTCAAAATTTTATCATTAGCAACTGATAAAAATATACAGATACATAGTCTACAGTAAATTTCCTCACTGAACCAACCTGTTCTATTTCTCAATATTGTCCCGCCCATCATTAACCAACATTTTTTTTCTCTTCAATAGATAGATATATGGTAGAGCCTCACTCTTACAACCCTGGCCCTGATAGTCATTGTGTACAAGCTAGAACCACACCACTACAACCCTGGTCCCCGATAGTCATTGTGCACAAGCTAGAACCACACCCCTACAACCCTGGTCCCCAATAGTCATTGTGTACAAGGTAAGACTACACCCCTACAACCCTGGTCCCCGATAGTCATTGTGCACAAGCTAGAACCACACCCCTACAACCCTGGTCCCTGATAGTCATTGTGTACAAGCTAGAACACACCCCTACAACCCTGGTCCCTGATAGTCATTGTGTACAAGCTAGAACCACACCCCTACAACCCTGGTCCCCGACAGTCATTGTGTACAAGCTAGAACCACACCCCTACAACCCTAATCCCGACAGTTATTGTGTACAAGCTAGAACCACACCCCTACAACCCTGGTCCCGACAGTCATTGTGTACAAGCTAGAACCACACCCCTACAACCCTGGTCCCTGATAGTCATTGTGTACAAGCTGGAACCACACCCCTACAACCCTGGTCCCTGATAGTCATTGTGTACAAGCTAGAACACACCCCTACAACCCTGGTCCCCGATAGTCATTGTGTACAAGCTAGAACCACACCCCTACAACCCTGGTCCCTGATAGTCATTGTGTACAAGCTAGAACCACACCCCTACAACCCTGGTCCCAAGCAGTCATTGTGTACAAGCTAGAACCACACCCCTACAACCCTGGTCCCCAACAGTCATTGTGTACAAGCTGGAACCACACCCCTACAACCCTGGTCCCTGATAGTCATTGTGTACAAGCTAGAACCACATCCCTACAACCCTGGTCCCCGACAGTCATTGTGTACAAGCTGGAACCACACCCCTACAACCCTGGTCCCTGATAGTCATTGTGTACAAGCTAGAACCACATCCCTACAACCCTGGTCCCCGATAGTCATTGTGTACTAGCTAGAACCACACCCCTACAATCCTGGTCCCCGACAGTCATTGTGTACAAGCTAGAACCACACCCCTACAACCCTGGTCCCCGATAGTCATTGTGTACAAGGTAAAACTACACCCCTACAACCCTGGTCCCCGACAGTCATTGTGTACAAGGTAAAACTACACCCCTACAACCCTGGTCCCTGATAGTCATTGTGTACAAGGTAAAACTACACCCCTACAACCCTGGTCCCTAACAGTCATTGTGTACAAGGTAAAACTACACCCCTACAACCCTGGTCCCCGACAGTCATTGTGTACAAGGTAAAACTACACCCCTACAAGTCTGAGCCCCGATAGTCACTGTGTACTAGCTAGAACCACACCCCTACAAGTCTGAGCCCCGATAGTCACTGTGTACAAGGTAAAACTACACCCCTACAAGTCTGAGCCCTGATAGTCATTGTGTACTAGCTAGAACCACACCCCTACAACCCTGGTCCCCAATAGTCATTGTGTACAAGCTAGAACCACACCCCTACAACCCTAGTCCCCGATAGTCATTGTGTACAAGCTAGAACCACACCCCTACAACCCTGGTCCCAAACAGTCATTGTGTACAAGCTAGAACTACACCCCTACAACCCTGGTCCAAAACAGTCATTGTGTAGTAGCTAGAACCACACCCCTACAACCCTGGTCCCCAATAGTCATTGTGTACAAGCTAGAACCACACCCCTACAACCCTAGTCCCCGATAGTCATTGTGTACAAGCTAGAACCACACCCCTACAACCCTGGTCCCAAACAGTCATTGTGTACAAGCTAGAACTACACCCCTACAACCCTGGTCCAAAACAGTCATTGTGTACAAGCTAGAACTACACCCCTACAACCCTAGTCCCTGATAGTCATTGTGTACAAGCTAGAACCACACCCCTACAACCCTGGTCCCCGACAGTCATTGTGTAGTAGCTAGAACCACACCCCTACAACCCTGGTCCCAAACAGTCATTGTGTACAAGCTAGAACCACACCCCTACAACCCTGGTCCCTGATAGTCATTGTGTACAAGCTAGAACCACACCCCTACAACCCTGGTCCCAAGCAGTCATTGTGTACAAGCTAGAACCACACCCCTACAACCCTGGTCCCCAACAGTCATTGTGTACAAGCTAGAACCACACCCCTACAACCCTAGTCCCCGATAGTCATTGTGTACAAGCTAGAACCACACCCCTACAACCCTGGTCCCAAACAGTCATTGTGTACAAGCTAGAACTACACCCCTACAACCCTGGTCCA